CCCCTTGCATGCATCCCGTTTCGGTACAGTGCCACGTCAGCAGTGCAGATCAGCTGTGCCACGTCAGCAGTGCCATGTCACAGTGCTAAGTCACAGTACCACGTCAGCAGTGCCACGTCACAGTGCCAGATCAGCAGTGCCACGTCCGCAGTGCCAGATCAGCAGTGCCACGTCCGCAGTGCCAGATCAGCAGTGCCACATCCGCAGTGCCAGGTCACATTGCCACGTCAGACATAGTGCCACGTAAGCAGTGCCACGTCAGACACAGTGCCACGTCAGCAGTGACGTTCAACACAGTGCCACGTCAGCAGTGCCACGTCAGACACAGTGCCACATCAGCAGTGACACGTAAGCAGCATTGCCACGTCAGCAACATGACGGGCCTGCCAGGCCAACTGACCAATGAGACCATTGCCGCCTACAAGCAGCGTTGCCTGGCTCAGATAGAGGCTGAGGAACAACGCCTGCTGGCAGTCGAGGCTGCCCGCATACAAGCTGAAGAGGCAGCAGCAGCAGAGAAACTGCGGCTACAGGCCGATGCAAAAGCAGATGCCCAGGCTCGCCGAAAGTAAGCCCAGGATCTGCTGCAGCGGCATGAAGCCAACAGCATCGACAGAATCAAGTACTGGTATTTTCAACCGAACGGCGACGACGCAACACCGGAAGAAAAGCACAAGGAGTTCCTCTCCAAACTCGTGACGCGGTTGTTGTATGCTTGCAACTACCAAAGGTCAGAGTTGGAGAGACAGCACCGGGACCTGACGCAACAGCATCAGGAGTTTGCAATGCTCCGCCGCACAGTGCAGAGCCACGAGGATGCAACTCGGGCACTCAATGCCCGATTGTTGGACCTGGAACAGGCTGTACCAGGACCAGCTGCTGAAGCTTCCAGCAGAGCACCCTCAAGCCGCCAACTGGAGGACCGCGTTGACCACGTAGTGGCAATTCTCGGCGACATCAGCACCTTCGCTGCGCCGACCACCACCATCAGTAGTCAGCTGCATACATTGAAGACCGAGGTCCAGAAGCTGCAGTCGACGAACGCGGACGACAATCCGAAGATGTACAAGATGCCAACTTTCAACCTGGAGAGGTTCGACGACTACACACAGCAGGATCCCGTCCTCTGGTGGGAAGCATTCACAACGCAACTCAGGATTCTGCCAGTAGCCAAGCATGCGTACATCGGCGCCCTGTTCCTGAACTCAAAGGGCGGATGCCAGACCTGGTTGAGCCACCTGGCAACCTCCCACGGCGTCGACGTACCAGACTTGAAGGACGTAATCACATGGGAGGAACTAACACGGCTGTGGAAGAAGTGGTTCATCGTCGACGACGCGCCGACACTCGCCATCAATCGTTTGTTCACCATGTCACAGGGCAACACAGCAACACGGGACTGGCTCACGGAGTGGTAGAAGATTGCGGCTGTGCCCAATCTGAACCTACCATTCGAGCATCTACGTCGTGAGTTCTACAACAGGTCCTGTGCGGCATTGAGCCAGGCTCTTGGTGATCGCGAGCAGTACTCAAAAGCAAGGGAGATCATCGAGACCAACAGGTTAGCTGCACACGAGAAATCAACATGGCAGCCGACCTATGTGGAGAAGGCACGAACTGGTCCGCGACAGCAGCACTTCGCTGTAGTCCAGCAGGACAGTGGAGATAACCCAGCAGCCACTCCAGCATCAAGTGACGGAGATCAGGTGGCTGCTGTCCAGTCGCGAAGCACCAACAAGTCCCGCAACAATGGGAAGGCGAAATCCGCATCGCAGGCCGGAAATGGACAGCCAGTACAAGTTCCATGGGTCAAGTTCGGCTTGAC